CAGGGCTTCTTCCAGAAGTCTCTATCTGTTGACATTTGGTTGGATGCGTATATAATTGTCATCATGACTAAATTGCTCTCTAAATTCCAAAGTGTTCCAAAGGAGGAAGGAAGGGACTTGTGGGACTGACTGGGGCCTGGGGATCACTCTTCAAGGGCCTCACTGCTTCACTGTTCCCAAGAGGATATAACAGGCTCTGCCCTCCTATGGAAGGAGCTCTGGTAGCATAGTGGTTACAAATTGGGCTGCTAACCTCAAGGTCAGCAGTTTGAAACTACCAGCTGTTCCGCAGGAGAAAGATGAGGCTTTCTGCTCCCATCAAGATTTACAGCTTTGGAAACCCTGTACAGGGTCTCTATGAGTCAGAACCGACTCCACGGCACATAACCACCACCCACCACCCTCCTATGGAGTCCTGGTGTGATGCTGTGGGCTAATGCGTCAGACTGCAAAGTTGTTTGAACTGCAAGGTTGGTGGTTCAAGCTCACCAGCTGCTCCTTGGAAACACTATACAGGGTTGTTATGTGTCGGAATTGACTCAACAGCACTTAACAGCAACAACAACCCTCCTATACCCTGAGTCTTTGTCCTGCTTTACTTTTCCTCAGAGTTGTTGTTGTTAAGTGCTGTTGAGTCGGTTCCGACCCATAGCGACCCTGAACAAGGTTTCCAAGGCTGTAAATCTTTACAGGAGCAGAAAGCATCATCTTTCTCCCATGGAGTGGCTGGTAGTTTTGAACTAATGACCTTAAAGTTTGAAGCCCAATTCATAACCACTAGGCTACTAGAGTTCCTTTATCTGGTGTGTATCCTTGTGTTTCTGAGTTTCTTATCTCTCCTTTCACCATTGGAATGTAAGCTTCATTAGAGCAGGGGTCCTCAGCACCCAGGACAGAGTCCAGCACAGAGTGTGCACTCAAAAAGTATTTATTGAATGAATGAATGAACAAATGGATGGATGAGTCTGTAGTCAGTTGTTTGTGGGATGTAATGGAACCCTGTCTCTCTGTGTTGCCTTGAGATGGTATACACATCATGGTTCTTCCTTGGCAGTTCCTCATGATTTCTCTGGACATTTTCAGTTGTGTTCATTGCCTTGCTTTAACCATAAGGGAAAATAATGAGATCTGAGGACAGATCTATGGATTATTAATGACCCTCCACTCTACCAAGCATGAAGTCCTTCTCCAGGGACTGGTTCCTCCTCATAATATGCCCGAAGTAAGAGAGATGAAGTCTGGCCATTTTTGCTTCTGAGGAGTATTCTGGTCATACTTCTTCCAACACAAAGTTTTGTTCTTGTGGCAGACCATGGTACCTTTAATATTCGTCCCCAACACCATAAATCAAATACATCGATTCTTCTTTGGTCTTCCTTATTCACTGTCCAACTCTCACATGCATATGAGGTTATTGAAAATACCATGGCTTGGGCCAGGAGTACTTTAGTCCTCAAACGGACATCTTTACTCTTGAACACTATAAAAGGTCTTGTGAGGCATATTTGCCTAATGCAATACATCGTTTGATTTTTTGATTGCTGTTTCCAGGAGTGTCGTTGGTGGTTGTCAAATGAAGTTAATTTTTACCATGATGTTGTTTATTGCTCCAGTGGGGAGGATTTTTGTTTTCTTTACATTGAGGTGTAACCAATACTGAAGCAGTCTTTGAAGCAGTAAGAATGTTATCTGCTCTTCACTTTCAACATATCACAGGTTGTTAATGAGTCTTCCTCCAATCCTGATGCCGCATTCTTCATATAATCCAGTTTCTCAGAGTATTTGTTCATCATACAGATTGACTAAGTCTGGTGAAAGAATAGATCCTGGCACACACCTTTCCTGAATTTAAACCATTCAGTGTCTCCTTATTCTGTTCGAATGACTGCCTCCTGGTCCATATACAGGTTCCTTATGAGCACAATTAAGTGTTCAAGAGTACTTATTCTCTACAACGTTGTCCTTAGCTTGTCATGATCAATGTAGTCAAAGACCTTTGCCTAGTCAATAAAGCACAGGTAAATGTCTTTCTAATGAGTCAATAAAGGAATGACTGAATATACAAGGAACAATGGGACAATGGGACAATGCCATTGCTCTAAAACTTGGAGATACTGAATGTGTCCCCCCTAAACTCAGTTTTTGTCCCTTTCATGATATAGTCTCATTTCTCAAACCACCAAGACCTCTAGAGACAGTATCTCATTGGCACATGGTCACGATAAGCCCTGAGTAACTGCAAGTCCAACCATGGTGGGCTGTTTGTGGTATCTCTCTTACTGACTGGTCCAATTAAAATTCAGGAACTGTCCATTTGTGAACACACAGCTCGATGAGCAGACTAGATCCCCGAGTCCTCTGCACGGTTGCCAGGGGCAGTGAAGCACATAATAAGTCCTTGCTGAGAGGTAGCCATGGAGAAGGCAAAGCTCAGGGATCACCAACTGGAGGCCTCCTTATGAGAAACCTCCAGAATCTCAATTACAGTTAGGAGTCCAAGCTGTAGGATTGCCCAATGAAGGCAATCCTATGGAAAGACACATGATTTTCTTCCTCCAATAGGCATATCCTTGCCCACCGAGCTAATTCAATCATTTACAATCACTGGGCTGTTGAGCAAGAGTCTGCTCTTTCTGTTAGAGGAGGGTTAATTATCTCCCAGCAATGTAGTGATTGCTGTCCCTGCCACACCAGGGACCGAGTGTCAGGACAAAGTAGATCTAACCATGAGGATAGCAGGCCAAACAGGCTGGGAAGGAATTCTCCCTTCTTCCTTTCCTTCTCTGTCCTTGGCACCTAGTCCCTCTCACCCTGTCTCAGAACTGCCAGAATCCAGAGCAACTAGAGCTGGAAGCAGGGGAAATGCTTTACATTTGTTTTCAGAAAGCGATTTTCTAAAGTGCCAAGTTTCACTCAAAAGTGAATCCTTGAGTATATGTAAGTTTGGAACTCACTAGTATGGTCACAAAGAACCCCGCTGCACTGCTGTTCTGTGAGACACCTTACATCGCATTGTTGTGGCATTGTTGGAGGAGCACTGAACTAGGGGCCAGGAAACCTGTGCTTGTCCCCGGTCAGTCTGGTTCATGACCCTGAGCAAGGCATGGTGGTATCTGGATTCGCGCCCTGGTGATGCTGTAGAATGAGTGCAGGTCTACTAACCACAAGGTTCAAACCCACCAGCTTTCTCCACAGGAGAAAGATGAGACTTTCTGACCGCATAAAGATTTACAGCCTCAGAAACACTATACAGGGTTGCTATGAATTCTAACTGACTTCTTGGCAGCTGCTTTTTGTGTTTTTTTTTGTCTATCAGATGAAGGGATCAGATATGCTGATTTTTAACACCTCAGAGCTCAAGCAAGTCTTTACTAAGTGTCTGCATTTGGTATCTGCAATGCAGGCACCGACTGGGCAGAGATGGAAAGTTGGGGCTCATAGAGGCTGCACACAGGCTGCAAATTGATGTCATGTTGCCAGGTGCTGCCAATCTTGTTCCGACAATGACCCTGTGCACAACAGAACACAATACCGCCTGGTCCTGCACCATCCTCACTCTTTTCATTCCGTTTGAGCCCATTGTTACTGCCACAGTGTCAATCGATCTCCTTGGGGGCCTACCTCTTTGTTATTGATCTTCTTTACCAAGTATGACATCCTTCTTCCAGGGCCCTAAGCTAGCTGAAAGCAGTGTGGGGAAGGTTCCCTGTGTTGCCACACGTAACTCCTGAAGTCTCCGTTTGGGTTGCAGGTCATTTGAGATCCAGGCCACGTTCCCCAAGGAGTCTCTGCTCTCTGTCCTCATCTATGACCATGACATGATCGGAACTGATGACCTCATTGGTGAGACCAAGATTGACCTAGAAAACCGCTTCTACAGCAAGCACCGGGCCATCTGTGGCTTGCAGAGCCAGTATGAGATGTGAGTTTCTTTTTCCTGCAGACCCTGTTTGTGTTCCGCGGTTGTTATCCAGCCTTCTGGGCTTTGGACACTGTACCAATTATCCATGCTCTCAGAAAGCCAGGCAAGTTACAAACAGGCTCCATGTCAGCAGGGCTGGTTTGAGGAAAGAAACTTAAGTGTACTTTATTGCAAATTAATCATTTTTAAACAAACAGCTAGTTAGGATTGTTTTTTTGTTTGTTTGGTTGGTTTTTAATGGGAGAGGGAATTGGAAAGATGGAGAAGTTCACCACCAGTAAAATCACTGATTAGAGAGAAAAAAAGCCATCAGAACTTCCTGCCTGTGGTATCTAAGTGATTTTGGGTGGGGCTCGGGGGAGGGGGGGAGGCAAAACGCAGTTAAACTGAAAGGAAAAATTAGGCTTTCTCCTTAGAATAAATAACAGCTGAATGGCTGTCCTACTAAGACCCAAACAAAAACTGACTGCCAAGTATTTTGATGTCAAGTTACTTCGAAGTCCTGTCTTACATGTAAGCTGCATTATTTGGTTAGCTGAGACCAGGTTCTCCTTCCAGAAGACAGGAGAAGGAATGAAAAGAAACAACACTCATCCCATCTGTTTAGTATAGCAAGTTGACTCTTGTGGCGCTCACACATCAAGCCAGGGAGGTCCTCTCTCTGTGAGTGGCCAACTCTCACCTTGTCTGTCCTCCTTCCACCTTCAGAGAAGGATACAATGCTTGGAGAGACACGTCCAAACCCACTGAAATCCTCACCAAACTCTGCAGAGACCACAAGCTGGATGGACCCTACTTTCGCCCAGGGAAAATACAGATAGGAAGCCAGGTCTTTTCTGGAAAAACATCCTTCACTGAAGAGGACTCTGGTAACTCCCCACAGAAAGCTTCCGGCTGGTGCTAGTCTTTGAAAATCTGCCTGCTAGTGGTATTTGTGGCCAATGGTGCAGGGGTGGTGGGCCCTCTAATTTTAAAAGCAATACATGTTTGCTGTAGGAAAATACAGAGAAGGAGAAGGGTAAGAATCACTCATAACCTCCAAATTCAGAGATAACCAGGCCGGAAGATTTCCATTTACAGTGTGTGTGTGTGTGTGTGTGTGTAAATGTTACATTTCCACAGAATCATACATGTGTCATATATGTAGTTTTGTGCCCTTTCTTTTTCCACCGAGTTATCGATGTGCCATTATTGAGTTAACCAGTCCCCTTTTAGATATTTACATGGTTCCATTCTTATCCTGACAATGCTACCATAAATTTCCTTATACGTGGTTTTGCACATTTGTGGTATTTAGGTAGTATAGATTTATGTCATATAGATGATGGGAGGAGAATTTTTGTGAAAGGTAAGCAATAGCTTTAAAATGAACCTTATATGAATAATTATATGAATATAATTGGGCACAACTCAAATTACCCCCATACATGTTACACCAATTGAGTCCACTTCAATGCCAAGAAACAGATATTTCATATGAACATTGTGGGATGAGCCATTTGAATTCTTGGGACAAGTCATATAAGTGTCCTATAAATTTAAGATGATAAAAAAGCCATTTTCACTTTACTTTTGTGATACAGAACAATTTTTATCATGCCAGTCTCTCAACTTGATGCTTAAAACATCCTGCATATGATGTAGTACTTTGGATGCCCAGATCCCAGTAAAGGACAGGGCTGTTGTTGTTAAGTGCCGTCAAGTCAATTCTGAATCTGAGTAACCCTGTATAGGGTTTCCGAGGAGAGGTTTGAACCAACTTTGTGGTTCAAACCAACCTTGTGGTCCAATGCTTTATCCCACAGTGCGATACCAGGACTCCATAAAGAATAGAGTATAAGATGTTTAATATAGCTCTTTTGATCTCCCTTTGACATCAAAATTTTTCCTTATCATTTTCACCCCAAGAACCATTTGAAGGTTCTTATAGGTTAACTTTTAGATATTCAGATGTATCTTAATGACATATGAATAAATTAATTTTGAGAAAAATACTTTTCATATTAAACTCTATTAAGTCAATTTAGTTCCTGGTCAGCGTTACATACCTTACCATGATGGAACAAATTGCATTTTTTTTTTTTTTTGCCCACTAAAAAGTAAAAATGATCTTCATGGAGATCAGTTCTTGATTGATTAAACTTTATGACAAAGGTTTAATTAAGTGATTATTTGTTGGTTTCTCTCAAGCTTTAATGTCTGTAATTATTGCTGTTAGAAGTTCTTTTCTTGTCACATCCTTTTTAATGAAGTTCATTTTCCCCATATCAAATTGAGTCATTATAATTGTTATGAACATTTTGTTCTTCCAGTAATTTTTATCATGAATTGTATATTTAAAATCATGTTTTGTCCTTGTATCTTGGCAAATCATGAGAAAGGTGTGAGAAATTTTATGAGACACCAGGATTATTGTTGTTACGTGCCATCGGGTTGGTTCTGAGGCATAGCGATCCTGTGTGCAGTATGCAAGGCTTTAAATCATTGTGGGACTGAAACAGACTGAAATAATAAGAGAGAAGGAAGGAAGGAGTGAGAGAGAGTCAGAGCAAGAGAACGAAAGAGCTTGAGTTTTATCTGGAGTGTTAACTGAAAGGTGAGATCAAAATTACCTCTGAAATCAAAACAGTAAATCGAAACATTCTGCTTTGGTAAAGTGACAGATTAGAGAATCTTTCCGGAGAGCATCCCAAGAAATAGGCAGCAGCAAGAGACTGCCGTAGGCATCTGAATTCACCATCTTGCACCTCTGATTCCCCAGGACCCTCGCACGCTATGGCAGTAGCAGACAGTTTAGATTGCCAGGAAACATAACCTATTGAATACAAGATTGTGCTGCATAGAGGCTGCGTGGGGGACCCATCTCACGTCTCTCTGCAATTTCTATCTCGTCCTCCTTCCCACCACTCTAGCCCTTCTTCTTCCTTTTCCACTTTTGATGCCTCTCTCATCTCCTGGTCCTGCAGTATATTTCATCTTTAAGGACGTCATTAAAAACATATTGACCCCTCATCACTGTTTCCTTGCAGGATGGACATCTGACAAGTTTTTATTTTCTTTCCTCCGTGTAGATGACATTGTGGAGTCCTATGAGCACTTGGCCCTGAAGGTCCTACATTCATGGGAGGACATCCCAGAGGTTGGGTGTCGACTGGTTCCTGAACACATAGAAACTCGGCCACTGTACCACAAGGATAAGCCAGGAATGGAGCAGGTAGTAGGCAAGCTGGACTGACCCCGTAGGAATGTTCGACCCCATCTTGTTTTTGTTTGCTGTTAAGTCAATTTCGACTTACAGCAACTCCGTGCATACATTTTCTGTAAATCTTTACTGGAGCAGAAAGCCTCATCTTTCTCATTTAGAATGGCTGGTGGATTTGAACTGTAGATCTTGCAGTTAGCAGCGCAATACATAACCCACTACGCTACCAGGGCTACCTTAATTGCCTCATTATAAATTGAATTTCCATAAAGGAATTTAAGACTATAATCAGAAATGTTCTAATTAGACTTCTTGGTGGCTATGCTTCTCTAGCAGGGTTCATTTTGCCCCCCAAGGAACATTTTTGGTTGTCACAACGGGGGGTGGGTGGATGTTTCTGGCATCCAGTGGGTAAAGGGCAAGCTATGCATCCTACAATTGACACACTCACATAACAAAGAACAAACCTGCCCAAAATGCCAAACTTAAGAACTTGGCCTGGGAGTCAGTGTTTTTGGTTTTGTTGAGAGTGGTTTCCCACCCCACACCCCTTTTTATAATTTATCACGCTCTAAAAATTTACACCCTCGGAAACCCTGTACAGGGTCGCTATGGGTCGGAATCGACTCGATGGCACTTAACAACAACAATTGGAATAATCAGAGTCTTGGTGTGGCACTGTGGGTTAATGCACCAGACTGCAAAGCCGTTTGAACTGCAAGGTCGGCGGTTCAAGCTCACCAGCTGCTCCTAGGAAACCCTATACAGGGTCGCTATGGGTCGGAACTGACTCGATGGCACACAACAACTGGAATAATCCTAACTTTTGAGAAAATCCAAAACCTATTTATGCCCAAAACCTCATCTAAAAACAACCATAACCACACAGTACATAGTTTCCCCAGAGACGCTGTAGACAGTGGCTTACCTTGAAGAGTCATGGGAAAATGACTAAAAGGCTGGATTAAGGGACAGAAGGGAACAGAGGATAATTTTTATTAAGAACCTTCTCTGCATTAATCCCTTCACATCAATTCTCTATCTCCTAATTTGGATGACCATATAATTGTTTTTCCAAACTGGGATCATTTTGACAGTAAAAGAGAGCACTCTTAATTATTATGCTGGGGGCATGTAAAGAGTTCTGGTAGTGTAGTGGTTACGAATTGGGCTGCAAACCACAAGGTCAGCAATTCAAAACTACCAGCTGCTCGTGGGAGAAAGATGAGGCTTTCTGCTCCCATAAAGATTTACAGCCTTGGAAACCCTGTACAGGGTCACTATGGGTCAGAACCAACTAAACGGCACTTAACAACAACAGGGAGCATATACCAGTATTTTATTAGCAAAATAAGAGTGTCTGGATCACCTGGGAGTCCTAGTGTGGCATGGTGGGCTGGACTGCAAAGTCAATTTGAACCTCAAGGTCATCAGTGCAAGCTCACCAGCTGTTCCTTGTAAACCCTATACAGGGTTGCTTTGGGTCAGAACTGACTCAACAGCTCTTAACAACAAATGAATCACCTTACTCTCATTTTTCAATGAGCCTTGTTGTTGTTAGGTGCCATCGAGTTGGTACCAACTCATAGTGACCTTATGCACAGCAGAATGAAACACTGCCCAATCTTGGGCCAGCCTCACTGTTGTTGCCATGCTTGAGCCCACTGATGTGGCCACTTTGCCAATCCATCTTGCTTGGGGTCTTCCTCTTTTTCTCTGACCATCCACCTTACCAAACATGATATCCTTCTCCAGCAACTAGTCCATACTAACAATATGTCTGAAGTTTGGCCATCTTGGCCTCCAAGGAGCATTCTGGCTGCACTTCTTCCAACATGGATCAAAAATGTTGGGGTTTTTTGGCAGCCCATGGCACTTTCCATATTCTCCTCCAACACCATGACTCAAAAGCATCAATTCTTCCATGGTCTTCCTTATCCCTTGTCCAGCTTTCGCATGGATATGAGGTTTTGCATGCAGTCAGCATTGTTGTATAGTTATTATGATGGTCACTTTTAAGATCAGGAAATGTAGGTTCAGGAAATTGAAGTAACTTGTTCAAGGTTACCCAGCTGGTAAGTAGAAGATCTGGATTTTACAGAGGTGATATGAGTCCATAGCTCATGCTCTTTCACAAACTCAGAATTCTCTGTGCCTTCTCTCCACATGGGCTCTGAAGTATGGAGCTCAAGAAAATGAGTAGAAGGCCATTTCTGCCATTAATTAGCCACAGGACTTCAGACAATGTCATAGACTTCCCTGGGCCTCATTTTCTTTATATGAAAAACAGAAACATGGTTGTGGTAAGTCTTAAAGGAGATAATGAATGTTAAGTTGTATTGGCAACAATGACATGATATTTTTGACATAGTATTTTAGTAAACCCTAGAAATTTACAAAGAGAACAGGGTCAATAGACAAGGGTTAAGTCTAGATTCTGCTACTAGAATCTGCTGTTGTGTAATCCTGGGCAAAATGTTTGCTCCTCTACTAGATAGGAATAATGGCATCTACCCAGTGGAAATGTTGCAAGAGTTAATGATGTAATGTGTATCAAGGGCACCGCATTGTATCTATTGCATAGCAGGTGCTCAATAAGAGTTTGCTCACTCTTCTTGTTTTTAATTTATGCTATAACTATTTCCAAATAAAACTTAAGTTATATCTTTGTCAACAGATATGATACACATTTATAAAGCTACCAAGATGTATCTAAGATCTGTTTCTAGTAAAAGAATCTTTCAAAACCATGAATGGTCAATTGCCCATGGGTCCCCAGTCACTTCTCCCAAAGCTAAAGGATGTCGTCTTTTCTTTACAAGGGTCGCCTGCAGATGTGGGTGGACATGTTCCCCAAGGATATGCCCCAGCCTGGACCTCCTGTTGACATTTCACCAAGGCAGCCCAAAGGGTAACTCAGTGGGACATGTATTTTTAAGAGGAAGAGATCATGGGAGCACCCTAAAAGGTCATGCCATTTGATCTGGTATCTGATTGACTATGTTAATCATTTGGCATTTGATAATCCTCACTTTCCATCTAGCCAGTTACAGTAGGGGGTGGGTGGTAGAAGTGGTAGTAATTACAATGGTGGCCCTTAGCATATGGTAGGAGCTTCTGAGTTTCAAGTTCCTCATCTGAAAAAGGTTGGTTGGTGGGAAGAAGATCTGTTCAGAGTAATCTGTGTCCTCAGTGATTTTGAAGTTTCCAGTTATGACATTTGGTTCAGATGGAACCAAGACCATGAAAATGTTGGGGAAACTTAAGGTAATACCAGAATCACAGAGCTATAAGCACATTCCTCTTTCAAGGTCTTCGACTTAATTCAGCTTCCCCTAACTCTAGGTATGAATTGAGAGTGACCATCTGGAACACTGAAGACGTTATTTTAGAGGATGAGAATATCTTCACAGGACAAAAATCAAGTGATATTTATGTTAAAGGGTAAGCTCATTAGCCAGTCTCTCCTCCCTTTGATTCTCCTCCTTACTTCTTTAATACCTAACCAAGTCTACTTCTACACGGAGGGTTCGCTACCACAGCTGCCACACAAGGAGACCCTCTTACTCACTTTATTAGGTAAGTTCTCTTCCCTTGTCAAACACTGTTCTTATTTGGTCAAAATATGCTAAGAATTATTTCGTTATGAATATGTATTCATGAGAAAGTCTTAGTGTTTCCTCTTATTCAATTAAATGTTGGCTACATAAACTTTTAGAGTAATATACATACACCCATCATTTCTCTGAAAGGAACAAGAGATGTAGCATCATTATTAATACAAGATTTTAAGATTTGTAATGTGGTTAAGTCTGTAATGCTAAAGCAAAAGCTAAAAACTAGAAATACCCATTGGCTAGTTCTCACCACTCATCTGTCAGTTTGTCATACTGTAGTGGTGTGTGTGTTGCTGTGATACTAGAGGCTATGCCACATGTATTTTAAATACCAGTGATGCAACCATGGTGGACACCAGACTAAGACAGACTAGGAAGAAGGAGAGGTGGACTACTTCATTATTAGCCACTGAAAACCTTATGAATAGCAGAATGTTCACTGATATAGTGTCAAAATGCACTCAAAGTTGAAATGCACTCAAGACTGAGGAAGATCTGCCTTATTAAGTTTTTATTGTGACTTGAGTGATACTTTACATGGGAGAACATCAGCTTCACACTCATTCTATCATCTTTCATTTCGTTGCAATGATTACAATCCCCTCCAGGTATCATCATTCACTAGTATTTGCTTCTATTCCCTCTGTTTTGTTTTTTGATGTACATCAAAACACTCAGGAATATACAATCATTCAAACAACTAAAGGGCATGCCCTGCAAGCCTGCCCCCTGACCGCCAGCACACAGCTCCTCTCCATCATATCATCTCTTGTGTTGCCGCTTCTCTGAATAGGTTGACTTGAATCTTAATGGGATCATAGAGTAGGTACTCCTTGAGTGTAGCTCCTTCTACTCAGGGGTGTGTTGGTGAGATCCATCAAGTCAGTTCCAACCCATAGCAACCATGTATAGAGTTTCTGAGGAGCAATTGGTGAGGTTGAACTGCTGACTTTGCAGTCCAGCACCTTAACCCCACAGCACCACATCAGGACCTTAATAATGTGAATGTAGCAAAGCTTTCAGGACCCTTCATATGCTGATAAGGGAATAACTTAAAATGAGAAGAAACAGCTTCAAACATTCATTAATAATAGGAGAACATGGATTGTATGATATATTAACTTAGGAAATTGGAATTTGCCAAAAAGAAATAAAATGCATAAAGATTGCTATCCTAGGCACTAGTGAGCTGAAATGACTGGTATTGACCATTTTAATTACGGTTTACTATGCTGAGAGTGGCACATTGAGGAGGAATGGCATCACATGCATCCTCAAAAAGACCATTTCAAGATCTATCCTGAAGTACAATGCTGTCTATGATAGGATAATATCGATACACCTACAAGGAAAGCCAGTTAATATTACTATTATTCAGATTTATACACCAACCACTAAAGCCAATGATGATGAAATAGACCAACTTTTAAATTGATCAAACATGCAATTAAGATGCACTGATAATTACTGGTGATTGGAATGCAAAAGTTGGAAATAAAAAGAATCAGTAGTTGAAAAATATGGCCTTGGTGATAGAAACAATGCTAAAGATTGCATGAAATTTTGCAAGACCAATGACTTATTCACTGTAAATACATTTTTTTTCAACAACATAAAAGACCTAACCATATGGAATATACAAGAATTAAATTGTCTACATCTGTGGGATAAAACTATGGAGAAGCTCAATTACATCTGTGGGATAAAACTATGGAGAAGCTCAATTACCAGGCCAGGGGCAGACTGTGAACCCAAACCATCAATTACTCATATGCAAGTTCAGGATGAAGCTGAAGAAAATTAAAACGAGTCCACAAGAGCCAAAATATGACCTTGTAATCCCACCTGAATTTATAGACCACCTCAAGAACAAATGTGATGCATTAGACACTATAGTGACTGAAGACTAGAGAAAGTGTGGGATAACATCAAGAAAATCATCCATGAAGAAAGGAAAAGGTCATTTAAAAAGACAGGAAAGAAAGAAAAGACAAAACTATATGTCAGAAGAAACTTTGAAACTTGCTCTTAAACATACAGAAGCTAAAGCAACCGAAAGAAATAACAAAAGAACTGAATAAAAAATTTCAAAGGGCAGTTTGAGAAGACCAAGTCAAGTATTATAATGAAATGTGCAAAACCTGGAATTTTAAAAAAAAGCAAAAACAAAAAGGGATACCCTCCTCCACATTTCTCATGAAAGAACTGTAGAAAATATTGAAGCTTCAGGTTGCAATATTGAAGGATGCTGTAGACAATAATGCAGGTAGCATCAAAAGAAGATGGAAGGCATATACAAAAGAATTGGTCAATGTTAAATCATTTCAATAGGTAGCATATGATCAAGAACCAATGGTATTGATGGAAGAAGTCAAAGCTGCACTGAAGGCATTAGTGAAAAACAAGGCTTCAGGAATTGATGGAGTAGCAATGGAAATGTTTCAAGAAACTGACTCAGTGCTGAAGGCCTTCATTTGTCTATGCCAAGAAATCTGGAAGACAATTACCTGGCAACCGATTGGAAAAGATCTATATTTGTGCTGATCCCAAAGAAACGTAATCCAAAAGAAGACAAAAATAATTGAACAATATCATTAATAATACACTTGCAGTAGTACATGCCATATTTTAGAAGAGAACGTGAAACTAGGAATATCACTGCTGATGTCAGATGAATCTTGGCTGAAAACCAAAAGTACCAGAAAGATACTTTACATGTGCTTTATTGACTATGTGGATCATAGCAAACTGTGGATAACATTGGGAAGAATGGGAATTCCAGAGGCAGTTGTTAGAACAGAAAAAGGGGTACTGAATGGTTTAAAGTCAGGAAAGATGGGTGTCAGGGTTGTAGCCTGTCACCATACTTATTCAACCTGTATGTGGAACAAATAATCAGAAATTCGATGACATGAAGAAGAGCATGTCATCAGGATTAGAAGACTCATAACAACCTCTGACATGCAGATGACACAACCTTGCTTGTGCAGGAAGCCAAGAAGACTTGAAAAACTTACTGATGAAGACCAAAACGAAAATTAAAATCCTTATAACCGGACCAATACATGACATTATGGTAAGGAGAAAAGATTGACATTGTCAAAGATTTCATTTTGCTTTGATCCACAGTCAACTCTCATGGAATCAGCAGCCAGGAAATCAAATAACCCTTTGCATTAGGAAAATCTACTGCAAAAGACTTCATAAAAGTGCCAAAGAGCAAAGATGTTACTTTGAGAGCTAAGGTGTGCCTGACTCAAGTCATGGTATTTTCAATGGCCTCATATGCTTGTGAAACTTGGACAGTGAATAAGGAAGACTGTAGAAGAATTGATGCATTTGACTTGGAAGAAGTACAACCAGAGTGTTTTCAGAAGTAGTAGGGTGGTGAGATGATATCTCTTGTATTTGGACATGTAGTCAGGAGGGCCAGTCCCTGGAAAAAGACATCATGCTTGGTACAGTGGAAGATCAATGAGAAGAGGATAACCTCCAAAGAGATGTATTGACACAATGGTAAGAACAGTGGGGTCAAACATACCAATTAATGAGGATGGCGCAGGACCAGGCAATGGTTCATTTTATTGTGCCACAGGGTAGCTATGCGGTGAAACCAACTTAATGGCACCTAACAATAACAACAATTGGGCTAGTCCTACTGATTAAAAAGATGCCAACCTAGGACCCATTGAACAAAACATGTGATATGAATTATATTGTTCTAGAATTTCTGCATCCTATTGGGTCACCTTTCTTTGGAATGGGCACAAATATGGATCTCTTCCAGTCAATTGGCCAGGTAGTTGTCTTCCAAATTTCTTGGCAGAGACAAGTGAGTGCTTCCAGATGTTTGTTGAAACATGTGTCAATTCATGGAGCCTTATTTTTCACCAATGTCTTGAGTGTAGCTTGTACTTCTTCCTTCAGTCCCATCAGTTCTTGACTATGCAATGGTTAAACACCGATCTTCTATCTTTTGATGCTTTCTGCATCATTCAGTAGTTTACCCATGTTGTTGTTTAGTGCCATAAAGGGTGTCCAAGCAGTGGCTGGTGGGTTTGAACCTCCAACCTTGCAGTTAGCAGTTCAGTGCTTATTTATCCTATAGTGCCACCCCAGGACCATAGAATCCTTCAATATTTCAACTTGAGGCTTGAATTTTTTCCTTAAATTCTTTCAGTTTGAGAAGTGTTCTTGCTTTTCGGCTTTCTAACTCCATGTCTTTTCATATCGCATTACAATTCTTTGTCTTATCAAGCCACTCTTTGAAATCTTCTGTTTAGCTCTTATTCAAATCTTTTTTTTTCCCATTCACTTTGCTGTTGTTGTTGGTATATGCCCGGGAGTCGGTTCCGACCCATAGCGAGCCTGTACAGGGTTTCCAAGGCTGTAAATCTTTACGGGAGCAGAAAGCCTCGTCTTTCTCCCATGGCACAGCTGGTAGTTTCGAACTGCTGACCTTGCGGTTCGCAGCCCAATTCGTAACCACTACGCTACCAGAGCTCCTTTAGCTAATTTATATTAGAGCAAGTTCCAGTTTCTTCTGATATCTGTTTTGGGTCTTTTCTTTCTCTCCTGTCTTCATGAATAATGTCCTTGATGTCATCCTACAACTCATATGGTCTTTGGTCATGACTGTTCAGTGTATCAAATAAGTAGGTTTTTAAAAAACAGACTTAAGATTCTCAAAAATTCCTGTCTGATCATTAAAGACTAGTATTACCAAGGCTCAAGGTATGGTTGGATTTTAGAAGATTTGGGGTTGGTACTTTCAAATGTCTAGCCATTAAGTGTGTTCAAAGAGATGCTTATGTTCACACTCTCAATTTCCTACCCTCTCACTCACTTCTCTTCTAACCCCAATCTGACTTCTGCCCCCAACATGTCTAAATTAGTTCAACTGTAGAGGCCTCCAGCCACTGTCAATGTAGCGGATGTTCAGGGCTGGAGGTAGCACCTTTTAGGAAGAAGGCTCTCAGTGTGAGAGGAACTGCCTCAGAGCAAAACTCCACTGCTCAATGAGAGAATTGGTCAGAGTGTAATTGTGTTCTCAGATGCCCTTGGATTCAAATTTCCTTGACATTTCCTAAATGGTTCTTCTTTATTGCATGGTACTTCCGGTCCACTCAAGAACAACTAGAGACAGTTCACCAACCTGGCTTGGAATGAGAATCTCATTTTTTTTCCTTTTATAGAGTCAACCAAAGCTTTCATGTCAGATTATTAAAATTATATAATAATTTTTAAACACTGAGCTATAGCAATATTGAAACTCCTTAATCAATCTTGGTAATGCTGGTGCCTGAATCATGTTCTCCAAGGGTTTAATTTTCTCTTACCTTTATTCAGGTGGATAAAGGGATTAGAAGATGACAAGCAGGAGACAGATGTCCATTATAACTCTCTGACGGGAGAAGGGAATTTCAACTGGCGCTTCCTGTTTCCATTTAAGTATCTCCCAGCTGAGAAACAAATGGTCATCACCAAGAGGGAGAACATCTTTTCCTTGGAGAAGATGGAGTGTAAGACTCCAGCTGTTCTGGTGCTCCAGGTTTGGGATTTTGAGAGACTGTCCTCGGATGACTTCCTGGGTAAGCACTGACTCCCTCAAGCACTCATGAGAGACCGGATGGCACATGACCGTGTTAAGGGGTTGAGCTGAGTTCTCTGTTTAGTTTGATTTCACCACAAGGGTAATCATTTTGTGCTATTTATGATAGCAAAAAATTGGAAACCACCCAATGGCCATTAATAGGGGATTGGCTAAATGTCATAGTGGTGGTGTTGTTAGGTGCCATCGAGTCAGTAACAACTCATAGTGGCACTATGCACAACAGAATGAAACACTGCCCGGCCCTGCAAAACGTCAGAATCGTTCCTACATTTGAACCTACAGATGTTGCCACGGTGCCAATCCATCTCGTTAGGGGTCATCGTCTTTTTCTCTGACCCTCCACTTTACCAAACATGATATCCTTCTCCAGGGACTACAGACACTTACTAATTCAGGCAGACTTTGCTCTATTGCCAAGAAGCTGTTAAACTTTAATTTCTGTACCTCAGAGAGTGTTAGTCCTTTAGTTACATTGCCACATTTGTAACTCCTAAGTACAATACCTCCCACAGAGTGAGCACTTGGTAAGTGATAAGCCTGCAGTCATTAAGAATATTCAATGACTTGAAAAACTGTGCAGGATGTATTAAGTGAAAAAGAACAAACTGTGTACAACACCCCCATTTTGCAAAATATGTTGATATGTATAGGCAAAAGAGTCAAAGAAACAGAGAAAGACTAACACAGAACTAAACACCAATATGTTCAGCAGTGGTCATGGTGGATGTGGGATTATGGAAAAGTTTTCCATCTTTTTTTTTTTACATATGTGCATGTTCTAAAATGTCTACAATTAATGAATTTTACATTTTTAATAGGAAAAGGTTACTAAAAAGAGAGAAGTGTATGTAACCTTCTCATGGCATGCATCTTACCCTGCCTTGTATTTACTTATTCAAAAGCCGTTTTTTGAAATCCCACTAAAGTTCTTTCATGGAGTCCTGGTGTGGCCACTGCAGGTTAATGTGCTGGACTTCTAGGTTGGAGGTTCAAACTCACCAGCCACTCCTCAGAAACCATATACAAAGTTTCTTATACACTATGAATCGGAAACAACTCGATAGCAACAGCAAAGCTCTTCCTGTGTCCTCGAGTGTCGGCACAGTGAATATTGTGCCTGACCTGAAGGACTTTACTGGACTCAAAGTGGGAGTTGAGGTGGAGAGGAGGGCTGTCCTATGGGAGAAGTGTGAAGGCAAGGGAAATTTATAGGAGAGGCACTTAATCTAGGTTGCCCTAAGGGAGCAGAGACTGTTTAGCAATGATGGCGCCTGAACTGAGATTCAGAAGTTGAATTTTCTATCTCTCTGCTCTTGTCTTCTACTCATTACCACATTATTTACACACCAACTCCTCACTTACTGGCATTGTTAGGTTCCAAGGACCAGGGATTTATATGAAAATCGGTGTTAGACAAAAATGGAAAATAATCACATCATTACATAACTGCCAAATTACATCATTATGTAACTTCCAAAGGGGCCCTGGACTACTACTAACTGCAAGGTTGGCAGTTCAAACCCACAAGCTTCTCTGAGGGAAATGTTGTTATTAAGTGTCACTGAGTCAGTTCTAATTTACAACTACCCTGTATAGTGTTTCTGAGGAA